TCCTTTACAACCATCTACACATTAAGGTTGTTCATCCCAGGAAGTTTAAGCAAAATCTGCCATCCGGTTTAAGAGGAGTTGCGTTCACAAAATTTCTACATAGCATATAGTGAAAAAATCAACAAAGGGTCATAATTCTTTTAAATTTGGTCGCAGTGAAAATTCCTTCCTTTACTACCATCTACACATTAAAGTTGTTCATCCCTGGAAGTTTAAGCAAAATCTGCCATCCGGTTTAAGAGGAGTTGCGTTCACAAGATTTCGGGACGTCAAACAGACGTACGGACGGACGTACCAACTTTTGATATTTAAGAGGTAAATCAGCTCATAAACTACACCTGGACCAAAGTCCATAAGCAAAATCAGCTCATAAAATCAAAAAAATAGCTCTTAATTTGAATTTTATGAGCTTTTGTTCTTTATCTAACTACGGAATGAAGCTCATAAATATCAAATGTTTGCTCGGACGTACGGACGGACACTCGGACGGACAAGTGCAACGCTATATGCTCCCACTATGTGGGGGCATAAAAGCAACACATTAATACATTTAATCATTGACAACTGAAACAACGTTTTCTTTTTAAAACAACAAAATAAATTCAAATTAAACTAATAAAATAACTTTAAAAAAAAGACACCCTGATATATATATTACAACGATGATTTGTTCATATTCCATCTTATATATGTACATGTATATTCATTGGATAAAATAAAAGTTTAAAAAGTTTGTTCATAAGTAACAACATTTAACAAGTGGCAAAAACATCACTGCCATAATTCAGTACCTGAGGACAGAGATGTGTTGTTTCTATAAACCAACATTATATAAATAACACAAAGGTTTTTTCAGTAACTGTAAGAATATCATCCCGGGGAAAAAACTGTACCCTAGGCAACCACTGCATCAGCTGAAGGTAACAGTATTTTTTAAGAGGAAGATATTTTTGTTGTTACTTGCAAACCTATGTGTTATGAATTACATTGTATATTAAAACTAACAAATACTTCATTGAGACACTACTTCTTTAGGTTTTAATTTTTCAGATTTTAACTGTAAAGAAAAGTATTTACCTTTGTAACAGTGCATAATTCTTAGTCACATGATACACTTGAATTAAAGGTAAGAATAACTCTCATTGGTTTTTACAAAAAAATAGTGAGGGGTTGTAAAATAAAATAATTATTATGGTATTGTTTTGCATAATGCTGAACAATGTATGTTTCTGGTAAGTTTCACACTTTCCATTTGGAAAATATCCAATTATATTCAATTTTACCCATGAAATATGGTGCTATATCAGTCAAATATATTTCATATTTGTAAAAAAATTAATATGAAATATAAATATGGAAGTGGGCGGAGTCAAAACTCATATTTACTTTAAGGGACTTTTTTTCCGCCATTTTGTTTAAAAAGTCTCATAAAAAACAGCTTTTGTTGAATTTTGTTTTGAAAACTATCTAGAATGATAGAGAATGGTCTAACTTAAAAAATAAATCCAAACACCAATATCTTTTATTCAGTCAGTAACGCTGTACAGACATTTAAAGAGTTGTTTATGTGATGTCACAATGTAACGCCAAACAGTGCGTGCAAAAACAGGAAAACAAGACGCATCTATAAATAATAAATGTATTACTGCAGTTGCGTAGCAAGCAAGGGGATTTGTTACCATTTTTCTTTGATAATGAAATTAAATAAAAAAGGTTTTTTTTTTCATTTTTAGAGAAATATGATATATATTTTCACGAAACATGATAAAATGCCACATATTTTCACTCTCTATCCCTGCTCATGAAAATATGTGGCATTTTATCATGTTGCATGAAAATTTAATGTTGAACTAGAGGACGCTTTTGTAAAAAAGCGCATGTCTCCCCCACTGCTGAGAATAACTGTGAATGGAAACAGGAATGGAAATGGAGATAAGATAATGTAAATACCCGGTAGTCACTTCAATGAAGGCTGTCTATGGATGGTTTCTATTGTTAAGGTTGTATGAGAAGATGCTTCCTAAACTGTTTGTTTTTAACCAGGTATTCAATTTTGAAAATCCTGGTTATTCAATCAGCGTATGGCAGGCGGGCGTCAAACGAAATTGCACTTGATGGTCATATCATATATAGTTTCACAAATGAAACTAGACCTATCACTGAAGGTGATTAATACCCCCACCAACAACTTTGACTTTTTGAAAAAAAAGTAGTCCGAAGAAAAATTTGAACACAAACTATCAACTGTGTACAAAGAAATATTTCAATTAATTGTAATCGCAACTGGGGTCTCGAAATAAGCTTGCTATACACCAAGTTTGATTACAATATCTCATTCCTAACTCTAGTTATTGTCAGGAAACCATTTTTTCTATTTTTAGTAACACTGTAACAGTGACCTTGACCCTAGGGGGTCCAAATGCAATACCAACCCAGGTCTTCATATATTAAGCTTCCTAGTTATTGTCCGAAAACCATTTTTCGTAACGGTGACCTTGACCTTGACCCCAGGGGGCCCAAATGCAATACCAAGCAAAGTCTTCATATAGGCTTGCTATACGCCAAGTTTGATAACAATATCTCATTCCTAACTCTTGTTATTGTCCGGAAACCATTTTTCTATTTTTAGTAACACTGTAACGGTGACTTTGACCCTAGGGGGTCCAAATGCAATACCAATCCAGGTCTTCATATAAGCTTCCTTTACACCAAATTAGATTACAATATCTCATTCCTAACTCTAGTTATTGTCCGGAAACCATTTGTCTATTTTTCCTAACGGTGACCTTGACCTTGACCCCAGGGGGTCCAAATGCAATACCAACCCAGGTCTTCATATAAGCTTGCTATACACCATGTTTGATTACAGTATGTCATTCCTAAGTCAAGTTATTGTCCGGAAACCATTTTTCTATTTTTAGTAAACAGTGACCTTGACCTTGACCCCAGAGGGCCCAAATGCAATACCAACCCAGGTCTTCATATAAGCTTGCTATACGCCAAGTTTGATAACAATATCTCATTCCTAACTCTAGTTATTGTCCGGAAACCATTTTTCTATTTTTAGTAACGGTGACCTTGACCTTGACCCCAGGGGGTCCAAATGCAATACCAACCGGAGTTTCCATATAAGGTTGCTATATACCAAGTTTGATTACAATACCTCATTCCAAACTCCAGTTATCGTCCGGAAACCATGATGTGGACCGACCGACGGACCGACCAACCGACCGACCGACAAGCTGACTCCTATATACCCCCCTAAACTTCGTTTGTGGGGGTATAATTAAATGAAATTGTGTCTGCTCCATAATTCTTCAAACCTTTAAAGGATTTTGATGATACTTGAAACAAACGTTCATATTGTCAGATTTTTTTACACTATTAAAAGACAACTCAAATTACAATGTATGTAAAATCATGATAACTGTAGTGTGTTGGGATGACTCCACTCGTTTTCACAATGAAGCCTCTCTGGTAGATACTTGAAACAAAAATTCACCACATCCAGAGAAGTGTAGAGTACATGTTTCGTATGGCTGGTTCCAAGGTCAAGGTCTACTTGACACTTGAATGTCATATCATATATAGTTTCACAAACGAAATTAAAGGAAATTGTGTCTGCTCCATAACTCTTCAACCCTTTGAAGGATTTTGATGATACTTGAAAGTTGTAACGCAATACCAATAAATATGTACATAGTCTGAATGGTGCCATGCATGTATGTATACTATTAGTAATAGTTAACAAGAAATAGAAAGTGATATACTATATACTTTACATATTGCATGAAAACTCACTCGCTAGTAGGAATTTGTAGTTATCATCAGCAAACAAAACAATGCGTGTAATACACTTTGCTGTGACCATGTAGCATGAACGCGCAGCTGGGAAGAAATGACCGCATAAGGGTGGAAAGATCAAAAAAAAAGACAGAGTATATAAAACCAGACAACTGATATATCACTGATATATCATAATAGTTAAATGTCCTCACTGATAAGAATCTAGTTATCATCCGGAAATGAGAAAATGACCAATGGTTCACTGTGACCTTAACCTTTGACCTACTGACCCCATAAACAAGAGGGATCATCTGCTCAATAAGACCAATCATCCTATGAAGTTTGAGGGTTGTAGGGTCTAAAGGAACTCTAGTTATCATCCGAAAGGAGAAATTAACCAACGCGTCGCTGTGACCTTGACCTTTGACCTACTGACCATTAAAAACAATAGGGATCATTTGATTAATAAGACCAATCATCCTATGAAGTTTGAGGGTTGTAGGTCAAAAGGAACTCTAGTTATTCATCCGGAAATGAGAATTGACCAACGGTCACTGTGACCTTGACCTTTGACCTACTGACCCCAAAAACAATAGGGATCATCTGCTCTATAAGACCAATCATCCTATGAAGTTTTTGAGGGCTGTAGGTCAAAAGGAACTCTAGTTATCATCCGGAAAACGAGAAATTGACCAATGGTCACTGTGACCTTGACCTTTGAACTACTGACCCCAAAAACAATAGGGATCATCTGCTCAATAAGACCAATCATCCTATGAAGTTTGAGGTCTGTAGGTCTAAAGGAACTCTAGTTATCATCGGAAACGAGAAATTGACCAACGGTCAGTGTGACCTTGACCTTTGACCTACTGACCCCAAAAACAATAGGGATCATCAGCTCTATAAGACCAATCATCCTATGAAGTTTGAGGGCTGTAGGTCAAAAGGAACTCTAGTTATCATCCGGAAACGAGAAATTGACCAACGGTCACTGTGACCTTGACCTTTGAACTACTGACCCAAAAACAATAGGGATCATCTGCTCAATAAGACCATTCATCCTATGAAGTTTGAGAGCTGTAGGTCAAAAGGAACTCTAGTTATCGTCCGGAAACGAAGAATGGACGGACGGACTGACGGACGGACGGACTGACGGACGGACGGACAGGGCAAAAACAATATGTCTCCCCCCGAGGTGGGGGAGACATAATTAAGAGCAATTGTTCAGATGGTAAATTTTTTGAGAGGTGGGTCAAATTTCTATAACCAACCATTAATCAATTAAAATTAATGCCAAATTTTCTTTCATTCTGTAAATAAAGTTTGATGGTAAAAACAAATTTTATATATAAAAAACAATTTTGGGCCTAATCCAAAATCCTTCCAAAAATAATTCTATTAAAACTGATTGTAACACAAGCATAAGTTACAAGTTCTTGGTCAGTTTTTTTTATATCAAAACTATGTAGCTATCATTTGGTTAAAATAGTTCTAATATGGTCATCTAAAATAACATTTTCCTAATAATAAGCTATCATCAAGAGTCCAAGTACGGCTGTCTGCAATTCCAGTAATTTTCCGTCTGCATCTCAGTTAGTCGAGACACTGTCCTCTCAAACGCAAACAACTCCTCCTCTCCCGTAAATATGCTAGCTTCAGATGACTCCGAATCCTGTTGGTTTATAATTAAAATTTGTAATTTTCAAAATAAGGAAAATTATAATGCAAAAATTGAGTGAAAATTTAATTATGTAAAATCAATTATATTCGTTACTTTTGAAATATGTGTGTATTAATTTGAAAATTCTTGCTATTTTATACTACATAATAATAACTTCATAATTAAGAGGATACACATAATGTTTTGTTCCATCAATAATAATAAATTTGTATGTATTATGTTGTATCTGTTTATAAAAGGGAATCAAAATACAATGAAGCATTAATTTATACCATATATAGAAATACAGCAAGTTGGTCATTCTACACTTTATCAGTGATCATGTGTTGCCTGATGATAGCCAAATGAGAGGTGATTGATCAGTTTCTTCCCTATATGTCACCTATACTTTGTAGCATGTTGTAACTACTGTGTAGCAGGCAACACAAAAATCATGAACAGGCTAAATTTCCTTTCAATTTAAGAGCCAAAACTCTGCCAAAGATTATTTAACAGAAAAAACTCGTAAAATATGCACAAGTTCTTGAGGTACCCATTAATGCTGTAGCACTTCTTTCATATTGCATTTGTAGTAAAAGAGAAGTAGTCTTGATAGACTTTATAAATAACAAGAACTGTCAGAGAACAGTTACGCTCGACTATTCAAAAAGTTGTCACAAGGGTGTTTCATCGAGTATAATAATGCTTACGTATATGAATACAAAAATTGTCCAAAAAGGTATAAAGCTTGTTATTAAGATGTTTTATCGAGTAAATCACTGCATTATTATTATGAAAGCATAAAATTGTCCCAAAAAAGGCACAACCCCTTCAGTAGTTATTATGAAAAAAAGAAAAATCAGAGTTATGGGACTTGTGCCAATCATATACAATAATCACAGAGAACAAGTGTGTGGAGTTTCAATCCATTCCCTTCAGTAGTTATGGAGATACCAGCTTACACACAAAAACTTAACCAAGGATTTCTAAGTTTAAAAAGGGGCATTATTATGCAAAAAAGCAAACCAGAGTTATGGGACATGTGCCAGTCATTTAAGATAATCACAGAGAACAAGTGTGTGAAGTTTCAATCCATTCCCTTCAGTAATTATGGAGATACCAGCTTACACGAAAAAACTTACCCAAGAATTTCCAAGTCGGAAAAGGGGCATAATTATGCATAAAAGCAAATCAGAGTTATGGGACTTGTGCCAATAATGTTAGATAATCATAGAGAACACATGTGTGAAGTTTCAATCCATTCCCTTCAGTAGTTATGGAGCTACCAGCTTACAAGCAAAAACTTAACCACAGGGACGCCAACGCCGACAAATGGGTGACTGCATTAGCTTGATTATTCTGCGAATAGTCGAGCTAAAAATTGTAATGAGCCATATCTCTGACAAAAATCATAAAACTGGAAAATGAAGAAGCTGCACACAACTAAACTTGGAACTTATTATTCCTGTAAGGTTTGTATGAAATTAAACCAGTAGTTTTTGAGTTGTTTAGACAAGTTTTGTGACAGACAAATAGACCATACTTTGTGCTACACAAAAACCTCAATGGAATCCCTTTAACTATTTTTTAGAATTATTTCTTTTTTATTAAAATATCTTACCGCCTTTAATCCTAGATCATCCATCAACATTCTATTCCTGTCTTCCTCTCTCAATGTCTGCGTACCTTTAGTGAACAGGTCCTGTGGTAGTGATTCTGCTGAACATACAACTCTTACCTAAAATATTCACATCACCAATGTCAAAATGCTTACATCATAAACAGATTCACATTATAAACACATTCACAATATAAACATATTCACATCATAAACACATTCACATTATAAATACATTCACATTATAAACACATTCACATGATGCTACTGGTCTCAATGTTTTTAATACAATTATTATTTTTATATAATTATAATTACAGACTTCATCTAGGTAAATAAAGGAAGAAAACAAAATATCAAACTTGTTTTTCAGAAATCACTCCTTGTAATGTTTCAAATTTCCAATATATAGATTATGCAGAATACATTTGATTCACTTATAAAACTTACCTTGTTATCATAAAATGTATCTATCATCACTATAAACCGCTTGGCCTCTGATTTTTGTTTCAAGGTCATCTTGGGTATATTGCGTATAATCACAGAATCAAAGTTTTGACTAATTTCCAGATAATCTATAGCCCCTAGTGCCTGTGTATGAAATATAAATGAGCCGCGTCACAACAAAACCAACATAGTGCGTTGGCGACCAGCATGGAACCAGACCAGCCTGCGTATCCGGGCAGTCTGATCAGGATCCATGCTGTTCGCTTTCAGTTTCTCAACTTGAAATAGAGTTGGTAAGCGAACAGCATGGATCCTGATCAGACTACTCGGATGCGTAGGCTGGTCTGGATCCATGCTGGTCGCAAACACACTATGTTGGTTTTGTCAAGAAGCGGCTCAAACATAAATACCTTTGTTGTCAAAATACATAGTAAAACATTTTTTTTATTATAAATTATACTAAGAAGATATTATATTATCTAGCTGGGTTCAAGTCACAATGCATGTGGTCAATTTCTAGTTTGTGTTGCAAAGTTGAGGTGCCACTGTTATTGAATAGTATCTTAACTTCTGACAGTAAATGCAAAGGGCAGCTTGTAATTACTATTGAAATTTCAGCTGACTGTCTTAATAAAGAGGACTGCACAAGTGAAAAATGATTTATGCATCAATCTTAATCAAGAGGAATATACATACCTGACAGCACAAGTGACTAAAAGTTGTATCTAAAACTCTACCGCAAGTCTTAGGCAGGAGAAGATCCCTCCCTAATACATCTAATGTTTTTGAATGTACCACTGTAATAAAAATAAATATATCTTATTGGTAATACTTCACAATATATTTCATTTATGATATACAGTTATATCATACATACCAGTTAAGTCACACTCTTTGACAACTTTGTTGTTGTTTTCATTGAAATATTTTACCTGATTTACAATTCATACATAATTATGAGAAATTCTGGTAAAATAACTAATAATATCAACCTAGAAATCATTACAGACAACCTGGACTTTTTTTTCACAAGAAGTGATGCCCTTGAAACCTTCTACCTCCGTACTTACTATAACCATTTCTTGTTAAATTGTAATCATTATTCTGACTTATGAACAGCATACATGCCTACGAAATATAATATTCCATCAAATATTAACAAATGTAATATTATTCATAAAATAATTTAAATATTTAAATAATGATGTAAAATTAAATGAGCCAGTCACGACAAACCAACGTAATGCGTTTGCGACCAGCATGGATCCAGACCAGCCTGCGCATCTGCCCAGTCTGATCAGGATCCATGCTGTTCGCTATCAGTTTCTTTACTTGTTATAGGCAAACAGCATGGATCCTGATCAGACTGAGCGGATGCGCAGGCTGGTCTTGATCCATGCTGGTTGCAAACACATTATGTTGGTTTTGTCGTGACGCGGCTCAAATAATAATCATACTGTCATCCTCATCAGCTATAAGTTCCTCAAACACCTCGTCAACTAGCTCATCACATTTGCTATTACTTGTTCTGAAAAACAATTAAACAAAATGTTTAGTGAATATCAGGAGGTTGGATACTCCCCAAAGAGCATTAACCACAACAAAATAACATGAAAATTCCAGACTCGGTTTAAAAGAGTCTGTACATGAGGGAAAAAGAGTAACATCCCTCCACCACCTTGCACTGGCTAGAGCGGGACTCAATTTTCAACAATTAAAAGTGCCAGAACCAATGATGTCAAAGGACCAGAAAACACTGAAGTGAAGTAATTGGGGCAACTTTTACAGTTGCTTCACAGCACTTGACACCTGCTGTTGTGCTGTATATTTTAAATATCTGGAGAAAGAGTGATCCCTCAGAATCATTAATGACAACAAGGTTATGTTTCATAATCACAACAAAATTTCATAACCTTTTTAGCATCAAGACAGTATTTTGTTTTCCTTTTGCAATGACGGCTCAAGTCACATTATCACTGCAAAGGTCATTACTGGTAACTAACTTTCCAGCTCTACCTGTTAAAAATAATTCTGGTGCCTCTCCATGCATCATGGATAAATCTAACGAGCTGGATAGCTTCATCACATGAAATAACTAAAAACAAATTTGGTACAATTGGAACCTAAAGAAGCAATCATTTAACAAATGTATTTATTTCCTATGAAGTGACATTATATTAACTTATATCTTCAGCAATACAGCTCCAGACTTACTATACAATATGTTAATTAAAGACTATGATGATGTTGTTGGGTCGCAACCATTGGCAATACAGTATAGGTCATATGGCAGCTCTCCAGCTTTTCTGGTACAGGAAGACCTCAGGGGGTCATCCATGCATTATTTCTGGCACAAACATGCACCTATGTAGAACCACCAACATTCTGTAGACTTAAACTGGATAGCTTCCTCACATGGAAAAATCCAAGTCCCTGGCAGGGTTCGATCCCACAGCAGTGAGAGGTCAAGTTGTTTGAAATCAACAGCCTTAACCACTCGGCCATGGACACTCCTATGTGGACGTTTGTAAAAAAGACATCTTATATAGCTAAGTTTAACTTCTCCATTCACATGTCATGTTATTTGTATAGTACCTTAATTACTACAACAATTATGTGTCTCAAAACAGACCATTCATTTGTAATAAAAAAATTATGTCATTGCAATTCAAAATTGATTCCTAAGTAAATTAAATTCTCATAATTGGATAATCACATATTGACTTCAAATGACAGAAAATCCATAATTTAAGTGCAGATGTGTGTTATTGTGGATCAATTATAAAATTAATGTCAGCCATCTTTTCCTTTGATTTTAAAACCTTTCATTTCTCTGCCAGCTACATGTACAACTAAGACAGCCGTCTGGTAGATCATATCTTTATACTAGACCAACTGAATTTATATAACAGATTTGCCCAACTTGAATTTGGAACAGACTATGCAAATTTTAAGGAATTCAAGAATAAAATACATAAAACTGGGCTACCAACAAATTTAGAGTCTGATCAGTCTTTATACAAGTGCAGACTGGCCTGTCTCCATATAATACTGGGGTCAAAGGTTACTCACAGTTACTTCAGTGAGTACAGAGTTAAAGTTTAATAAAAACAGTATCTTAACTTTTTTTTTTGTTGTTTTCTTTTTAATTTCACATCTATGAGATGAACTATTGTGATCATCAAATCATAAGACAAAACTGAAATCCTTACTTTTAATATTTACTCATTTTCCATATTTTCTTAATAATAATAATAATAATAATAATAATAACAATAATAATAATAATAATAATAATAATGATAATAATAATAATGTATATGGTAAATTGAAATTCAATTAAATTCAAATTAACATAAAGGCTGCATTGTTGTCAATCTATGATCAAAGGGAATGTATAATCACTTTTACATTTACTTATTTTTCCATATTTTTTAATAGGGTATATTAACTAAGAAATTAATAAAGTGGAACAAACAATCAACACAGGATAAGTTTTGAGGTTTATGTAATGATGATAACCGACGAGGGTAAATAAAAATTCAGTAAATTTTAAACAATCAAGTAGGCTGCTTTGTTTTTCATTCTCAGACCCAATGGAATGTACTATGTAGACTAGAAATTTTGGAAATTTCCAACTCGACAAGACATAGTATATCTGGCCAATATGGTCAAAACATTCACTTTGATCAATAGACAAAGTGGGACAGTACAGAGTAATCAGGTGTCTCATAACTGGACATAAGTGTTAAATCTTAAGTTGTTGGTACATTTTTGCAAATTTTGATATCAAATATGCCTATATCTTGCTTTTAAAAGTCTATGTAATTACACAGGAACCATGTGCACACTTTTTTTTTATAACTCAGTTTATAATAAACTGTTTCCTTGAAACAACAGCTGTCAACAGTGTATTTGACTATTGTTAAGGTTTGCTCGTGAACAAGAGCTGTCTAAAAGATATCCAGCTTGACTATTTAAAGTACAAAATTTTACCCAACCAATTTTATTTGTTCCATACTATAATGGTCTATTGTACATAACATTGATGCCTCTGTTAGTGACATTATACTCAATTTTTAATGTCCATAATTATATGGCCCATTCTTGAAAGAGAGAAGAAATAGAAAACAATGTTACAGGGCAAAATATTATTCTGGTTTTATCTTTATAGCAATAATTTCATGCATGTCTCATTCGCTAAGAACATTTATTTCAAATAAGCTTTCAGTATTCTAAAATTCAAACAATTAATTTTTGCACCAGATTGATAGCTTTATGCATCTTAAAAGTACAACAAATTATGTTTTAAAATTGAACTAATTTAGTTTCATAGTAATATGTCAAATGGTATATGTCAAAACAATGGGTTAATACAATTTTTTTTAATAAATATCTAAGTCAAATAGGGGTATAATTTTGTCAAAACCTTTCTCTTGCCTGGAATTGGGAATTTGGTGGGGTAATAATTATTAATCATTTTCAAAGTTTTAAAGTGTTACTTTAAAGGGTAAAATAACACTCAAATGAGATACAAATAACTGTTTTGAAATTCTTAATTGAAATGGTGTCAGAATTTGTCATGTTGTATGATAATCCCGTGAACTCTCTATTGAGCTAAGAGGCTTAACTATTTAGGTTCTGTTGGGGGGGGGGGGTGCTGTTGAATTTTTTCTTAATATGGGAAAACAATTTATTTGCTTTTTGAGATTGTAAAACTACTGAAAAGTTGGACCAGTCAAATTAACAAAGAGCTGTCATGAAAATTACCAACACAGAATTTAGATAATTGTAGAATGAGAGGTTCAACACTTAAACAAATTCTTGTATTCTATTATAAAAGATATAAAATTTCTTCAAATATAAGTAAGGGGAAGAAGGAAGACAATACACAAGATAAACTATAAAACATTTTAATATATGAACTTTATAACTCTTATACATATAATACTTACATAGAACAAACTATTTATTTTATGTCATAACTTATAACAAAATCTAAAAGCACTTTTGTTGGGCCAATGCCCGATGATTTCCCTTGAAACAGTCATCTACTAGTTAAATACACATCAACATAATATTTATACATATGAAAAATTTTTTTTAAAATCTCTCAAAAAAACAATCAAAATCGCAATTAACACTTTCCTTACAGTTTTATAACTTAAAAACAAGCATTTTTCTTTTCAAAAAAACCATCATTTTTTTACCCCTGAAAAAAATAAAAAAGTTTTCCCAATACTTTAAAACAACCTTTTTTATCTCTTTTTTCCCGATCCAAAGGGCTACCAATTTATAAAATTTAAATTTTTGAATTTAAACACTTTTTTTAATAATAAAATGTAATTTCAGTCATACATACAATACACCATAATGAATACTTAATATAATCATGTCTTACACAAAGCAATATCATCAATGTTTTACACAGACCAATATCATCAATTATGAAAAAGTAATGAAATTTTATTGAGAAAAACAATTTAATTCCCTCATAAAATTTATATCCCTCAAGTTAATCAATTTCAATTTAATGTATTAATAATTCTAGTTTAATTCAGTCTCCAGTCCGTACACAGTTTCTATCTTGGTTGCACTAAGGTTTCAGAGAGATACAATGAAATCCCACATTATACTGCTGTCATATCATTTTTGTAACTCTTTTATACTGCTATTTCGAGTCTATTCTTTACACAACTTTGGTTAGGTCTAGGGGTTGACTGTTGCTATGAGACATCCAAAACTCTTGAACATGTTTCACTCTATGTCTAAACAGAGTAAGCAGGGATGCTTTGATCTGTGGGATACACTTCTTCTTCCAGCACTTCATATTAAAGTCAGGGAAATGTTTCTTAACACACCTACGTATGGCTGACATCTTGTTTTTCGACAACTTTTGAAGGTTTAAGCCATTCAACTGATCAAGTGTGAAGAGGCGGAACACGAGATCTCGGGCAAGGATAGAAGGCGTGGTCTTACGACAGTTCTTTACAACTTCAGCTCGGATATCTCCTACATTGTCCAAGGCATTGTCAAACATTTCGTTCACAAGATTTGATTTCTGCATTAATGCTAACAAATACGTGCTGGAGATCCACCCTGAGATCACATATGGTTTAATGTACTTCAGTTGGTCACAAATATCAAACATATTTTCATCCTTTTTCACCATCATATGTTCAATGTATCTATCAACTTCCTGTAGAAGAGCATCATCCATATTAACTACTTGCTCCACAGCTGTTAGAGACTCAGCATAGGCGTTCAGGTTAATGTTATCCAATGGTACTCGTTCTCTGTTCTTTTCAGGACTGAAGGAAATACGTCTAACGGCACAAGTTGGTTTTTGGTTTGACAATTCCTCTGGTGATTTGTACACATTAACAGCACATGAATTTATTTCTTTCTGGATATGCTCACCATTTTCTATGACTTTAGATCCAAGAGGAATTGCTGGCACTGGGGACAAGTTAGCAGCACAGTTATTTGGCACAGTGAAATGTTTATTTCTAACTAAGTGTACAGGTG